AAGTGCTTATAGGCTGTAATAGATTTGACTCTAGATCAGGTCCCACATAAGAGAAAATAGCTTTCAACCACATGTACCTCACGCATCACAAATTTCAGTGCTCGAGGTAAGTATTTTGAAAAAATTGTAACTCAGTGAAAAATATATACTGTGTAATCATTTGACCGTTAACGTAGTGGCAGAGGGTTAACCTTAGACATATAAAATAGAAAGCTCTTTAGAGTTGAAAATACGGCTTCAGCAGCGTTCGACTTTTGTAGCTAAGTTATGGAGGTCGGGGGGGAGGAAACTGGGTGCCTTTGAGGTCACCTTGAAAAATATCTCGTAAAAAGTGAAAAAACCAGACTGATTCAAAATAAACGCAATATTTGTTCATGGGATAGAAGTATCGACTTTCCCAGTAAAAATCAGGGAAAACGGTGAAGGTCCGAAATTTGCCTTATCCGTTCTTAGGTGGACAGCCTCTTAAATCTTTAATAAATCTCCTTATACAATTGTCATTTAAATCATGCAAGTTCACCAGTTAATACTTCTTATCAAGATCCTTGCTCACTTAGTAATAAATGACAAATTTCAGTGCTGAGAATTTGCAATAAATTTTGCATACATGTTGGATAAGGAAATTCTTTCTTGATTGTGATCTCCATTCCTCGCTCATCTAGTTATTGCATATTGCATAAACCATCAGATACCCACTAATTATTGGTCTGAAAAAAATTTATGATATCTACTAATTTTGACAGATTCTGCAAACATTCTTAAAAGTTGTTTACGAATCTTAAAAGATCTTCAAGTTCTTTTGAAGGTCATTTGAGATATCGTTGAGAATCTTAGCAAGTTCTTGTGAAAACTTGTAAAGGTTCTTTAATTAAGATTCTTTCCATCGGAATCTCACCAGATCTTGTAAGATTCTTGTAAGTTTCTTACAAAGATATTTAACAAATTCTTAGTTAAGAATCTTATAGTATCTTGTAAGATCCTGTCACAAGATTCTTACAAGAATCTTGTCAGATCTTGCAAGATCTTGTACGATCTTGTCACAAGATTCTTCCAAGATCTTGTAAGATCTTGTAAGATTCTTGTACAATCTTGTCACAAGATTCCTACAAGATCTTGTAAGACCTTAAAGATTCTTGTAAGAATCTTGTGACAAGGTCTTCCATGATCTTGTAAGGTCTTACAAGGTTCTTATTTAAGAATCTTATTAAGAATCTTAGTAAGAAACTTACAAGAATCTTAGTAAGATCTTAATAAGATTTTCATTTGGGTATGACTTTCAGTACAGTCATGCGCTGTTTATGACCATTGATGACATAATTTACTCTGTATCTTTTTCTCCGTATCTCTCTGTATCTTTTTCGTAACATTAAAGAATATCCTATTTTGACAAAAAAGTTTTGAATGTCACTTGAAAAACACTCAATGAAAAATCACTTACCTGCGGGACTTGTTTTGGATGAAGTAGCAACTGTAGATGATACTGGTTTAACTGGGGAAAAAACACGCCTTTCAATGATCGCTATGAAAGATTTAATTAGATGTGTTCACCATACCAACCTCAAAGTACCAGATCTTAATAACAATACTTCAGCTCAAACAAATAGTTTTCGGAAGGTTCTGGGTTATGAGACTACAATTTCCAAAAGTTTTATCATCATTCTGTTTCAATGTAATTAACATTATTATCATTAGTATTATCATACATTAATCGACAGAAAACACAAGCTTTGACCTTGATTATTGTTGCTATCATGCTCAGCCTCTTCCAAAAATTGTTATTATTACTATAATTATGACTATCGTTATATATTAGAATCAGCGTCATCACTATCTTTAAAAGGCACCCAAAAATAAAACTAAGTGTTAAAATCAATAGAACGGTTAAATGGATATGTAGAGTTCATAAGATAAACTGTCGGATAATAATAGCTACTCCATCACAGTTTATAGCAGTTAACTGGAAAGAACTTATTAGGAAAACCTCGCGTTGTCCAAGTAAAAGAATAATACTCATTACAGCAAAACGGGTCAAGATTTACTCGCATTAGTCTCTTTTTATTGTTAGAATGTTCTTTGTTCCCTATTTCTGTCCAACAGATATTCAACATGATATTAGGAAAGGTCTTTTGAAAAAAACCATATGATCATTCCATTTTTCCTTTCAGAAGATAGTTCTTGCATGTTATCAAATAAACAGAAATACTTAAAGGGTCAGGAGAAACTATAGACGGGACAAGCTGTCTGTCTTTAGAATGACAGAACGGCTCATCACTTATCAATGTTGTGAAAGCTAGATTTGATTTATCGGTAACCATACTAAAACTTAGTCAACTTACCAAGCACTAACAACAAATTCACAGTTGTATTTCCCAGTTCATTTTTTGCAAAACAGGTATACCATCCTTCGTCCAATAAAGAAGCATTCTTAACCTCCACAATTGAGCTTTTCGTCATTTTACTGCCACTGGTATCATTTCCTTTGTACCACGCGATGACAGCTGGGGGGTTTCCAATATCCACAGGGCAACCAATGGATCTGTCTTCTCCTAACTCCAATTTAATGGTATGGCTTGACAGCGTGGCCGATGGTTTATCTAGATATGAAAGGTAAAATGTAAAAATATTGCCCTCTCTGTGAACATGGATAATTCATAGAGTACTAACGTTAGATATCAAAAGCACACCGCCAGTAAGTAACGCGAACTACACAACGAATACGCTTTATTCATACACGGCGAAAAAAGATGGAAGATACATAATGGAGAGAAAACAGTCAGGCGTCACTCGTATGAGCGCGCGCATAAAACTAAACAAACACAGCAGGACAACCTGCTAACGCAACGTCTTTTTCGTTCCTTAACGAGAACAAACTATAATAACAACGGCTCAGGGATTCTGCAAAAGTATAAATGCTGAGAGTGGTAGGACCCTAATACATGACATAGTCTTTCAAGTACGACGGCGGTTTACGGGACCGCTGGGGCCTTGGAGGGGCTGGTTGCGGACAGCTTTCGTCAGGGTTAGAGTAGGACACGTCGGATTCGACCGGGGCTCTGGGAACTTCAGGTTCTATAGGATCGGACAGGGTTTCTCCACCGTCGCCTTAAGGGAGTGGGATGGAGGAGTCCAGGGATTCAGGGTTGGCATCGAACGGATGAGTGATGTCCAACGGTGGTTGAGGGGGATCGGGAACGGACGCTTGTTCATCGTGGCCTTCATCATCTGCTCGATTTACGCAAGAAGAGGGGGAGTTGACTTGTGTGGGGACGACGTAGCATTCGGACAGCTTGACCTTGTAAGAAGAAGCTCTCAACTGACAGCCGGAGAACCGGTTTGGTTCGCTTCGCGTTTTGTATCGTTTCATACGATATTGTTTTGTCGATGAAATATATCAAGTGAGTTAAGGCATTTGTGACTACAGGGATAGTTCTCGTTAGTTCATGCTTTTGGGAAATGCTTTCAGATCATAGATCGAGTTAAATAAAAATATGTATGTCTCGCTGAACGTTGTAATCAGTTCGTATTTACTGTGAAATTTCTCTGCGGAAGGTTCGGTATCGTCACTAAATACACCTAAAGGGTTATTCAATTGATCGGTTCCTTCAATGCTTTCTCGTAATTTTCCATCTTAACGTTTTTACAAGTGATAAACTATCGGATGACATGACTCCGGATTTCAGGTGGCATGACTAAAAGTTTCGGGTGACATGACTTCGGGTGACTGAACTGTAAATAAGAAAAGTTTCAAAGAAACTAGAGCAAGGAAGAGGTGCAAAGAATAGCAAATACATCTCTGAATGTGATGACAATTCTGATTGAACTGGCTAATAAAATTGTAAAAACTTTCAAAGAAATAAGACACTAGAATCTTGAAAACACGAACATTTGAATGTTACGTATGATGCACGATCCTCGCAGTAGAGAGCGCTATTTATGCAATATACTTTAATGTGACAGCGTGATGCTGTTAGCGAGTTTCACAGGCGCTTACCAATACTTGGCTGTGTAGCCGCGCGATGCGGTTCCAGTCCAGGCCCACAAATTGACCCTTGCTCACCATAGAGTCTCCAGTAGCTCAGTGGTTAGAGCATCCAACTAGATCACGGAGGGTCGTGGGTTCAAGTCCCATCTGGGGCTCGGATTTTTCTATTACACCAAAAATTGTTTCATCTTTACATGCTCACTTTGGAGGTTGGTTGGCCGCTTTTTGATATGCTTTAATGTGACAGCGTGATGCTGTTAGCGAGTTTCACAGGCGCTTACCAATACTTGGCTGTGTAGCCGCGGGATGCGGTTCCAGTCGAGGCCCACAAATTGACCCTTGCTCACCATAGAGTCTCCAGTAGCTCAGTGGTTAGAGCATCCGACTAGATCACGGAGGGTCGTGGGTTCAAGTCCCATCTGGGGCTCGGATTTTTCTATTACACCAAAAATTGTTTCATCTTTACAAGCGAAAATCAGGCCTGTACGGGATTCGAACCACTGACCTCTGCGATACTAGTAGAGCGCTGCACTAGTATCGCAGAGGTCAGTGGTTGGAATCCCGTACAGGCCTGATTTTTTTCAGGTTTTTTTCTGATTTTCGCTATTGCTTAAATAGCGTTATCTACTGCGAGGATCGTGCATCATATGTATCTAATACCGCAGTTCAAAATATATGAAATTCATATATACATTGTATGTGAATGTTAACTAGTCAAAATAGCCAACTTCAAGTTAACTACAATGTGACCTTAGGTAAATGACGGATTGAAAAATAACGTTTGCGAATGGTAAACACCACTACTGCCAAAAGAGCCGTATTGTGTAATTATGTTCTTACACTGTACATCAATGAACATCGTTGCCCATTTGCCTCCACAAGAGTTGTTTGCAATGCATCTGTATTCTGTTTGATTTCTTGTGATGTTAGTTATGTTCAACATCTTTCCTTTAACGACCTGACCACTTTTAAAATTCTCCCAAAATACAGTGGGGAAAGGAGTCCCTGCAGTCACATCACACTCCACTAGCAAATTTCCACCTTCATCAACTGATACATTCTGCAACTGTTCCAATGCAGGTGGCTCTGAAGGGAATAAATTAACACAAATGGTAAAGTTTTATCCCTTTAAGGAAATGCATAGAAGTAAAACATATTCTCAACAAAAACCACTAAGAGTACACTACTGAGGAAAGCCTAAGAGATGTGAAAAAATGTGAGGTCTCCAGGCGAGACGTCAAGATGGTCAATATCTTAAGAGAATTACATGGGATTGCACTGGTTTTACTTCACAATACACTGTATTTGATCCACAAAACATCTATCACCTGAACCAATCTATGCTAAACCCAATCACCACTTTGGCAATTGCCTTTTCTTACACATCAAACCACTTAAAGGTATCTACCTAGAATTCAAGTTTGTTCTCCATGATTGATTTACTTCAGCACTGAATCGGTTTTCTAAAAGTAACTGCTAACATTTGATCGCAAAACATTTTAAATTCATTAAGTTCATTTCAAACTCATGATGAAGCACTGAAATGAGTGATGAAAAAAGAATGTTTTACTTCTGTTAGCTATCCATTGCCAAAAAAATGGAAGTGGTTTCTTTTCACATTATTGCAATCTTACCATTCACAGCCACAGTGACATTATTGGAGCTTGTGACATTGTCAATTTTCTGATACGCCTGACACTGGTAGACAAATGTCTCTCCTCTTGAGATCTTCTCTATCCATGTTCCTTTTTTGCTAAAACTGACCTTTGTTTCATTCTTTAGGAGCAGATAGTTATGAACTGGTGGATTGGCCACGGATGCGTTGCAAGTGAAATTCACCCACAAATCGTTGCAGCCACTGTTCTCCGTTGTGTTCCTTTCCAAAGTGACATCTTTTACCCCAACTGGAGAGATGAATGTGATAGATCATTAACAACTCCNAGACTAAGAAACATCTTTTGCCTCTTAATTTTCCTATGTTCTTGTGCAATTGAGTGCCCTCGTGTGAACACCTTAAGGGAATAGTCCCTGCTACCGGTCCCCTCGTGTAAACCCTTCAAAGACTTGTCGCCAGGACTAGTCGCACGGACTAGTCGCAGGGACTAGTCCCCTCGTGTGTGCCGACCTTTTAGTCTTGATGTGACTGATGTTCCATCAGCTAGAGCTTCAAAAAATTCGACCCACTGATCTATTGTTAGTTTGACATCGATTTCATATAACTGTGTCATATCTTATATATAATATATGTTATACAATTATTCAATCATATAACATATTTTCAAAAAGTAAAAACGAATAATACATTTAATCTTTGAAAATATCTCAGATATCATTTCAGTTATTTCATCGATGTTAGTAGAACTTAAATGTGTTTATTCATGTTTAAAGTATAAATCTCCTTCTGCGTATTGTATTGTTTCCACTTTTTTCAATGATTTCGATTTCCTATCTGGATGATCTAAATCATAATGCACCTTATCTTTGAAAGTGATTGTTAATTCAGTAATTGTTTTTGTTTTTTCTTCAATTCTTTCTGCGACATCGGTTGATCTTTCGAAAATATGAAATGCAGGATAAACTTTATGATAATGATAATCACAGGAGTTGGCGAAATACATCATATATTCTTCAAAACAAAATTCCACCATTTGTTCTTCGCTATCGAAAAGATGTTTGTATAGATCATAATATTCTTGTTTAGTCTTTATACCACCCAAATGTGTTCGTGTTCTGATGTCTCTATTGCAACAATTTCCGTAAAGAAAAGACTATTACTCGGGCTTTCCGAAGGAAACGCCCGAGGTATAAGTTCGGCTTTTTTTTTTTTTGCGTACAGTCACAAAACGCAGTTCCACTACATTGCATGTGTGAAGTGTACGCGCATGCGTAGAATGAACCCTAGAGCGCAGTCGGTTTAAAGCCATGGCTGCCTTCATGGGCAGTTCCTTGCTTAATGTACGCGAAAGAAATTCGATGGCTATTACGTTCAGTACAGATACAAAGTCACACACCCTTCGCGGTAGACCCACACTAAAACTTGTGGAGCGTTTTGGGAACAGGTCGGTCCGCGAACTTTACGAGAGATCAATTTACGAGCGATACTTTGTGAGTGAACCTTCTATCCAGAAATATCAAACAAAACCTGCTATGTATATGAGAACGATCCTTCGCAGTAAAGCACTATTTGAGCAATAGTGAAAATCAGACCTGAAAAAAATTTCAGGCCTGTACGGGATTCGAACCACTGACCTCTGCGATACTAGTGCAGCGCTCTACCAATTGAGCTAACAAGCCAACTGGGAGCAGGCCATCAAATTAATTCGATATAAACCCGTAGATGATAAATCAAACAACAACAAACATATGAAACATATGTGTGAACTGCGGTTATGAGACGTATATGAGAACGATCCTTCGCAGTAAAGCACTATTTGAGCAATAGTGAAAATCAGACCTGAAAAAAATTTCAGGCCTGTACGGGATTCGAACCACTGACCTCTGCGATACTAGTGCAGCGCTCTACCAATTGAGCTAACAAGCCAACTGGGAGCAGGCCATCAAATTAATTCGATATAAACCCGTAGATGATAAATCAAACAACAACAAACATATGAAACATATGTATGAACTGCGGTTATGAAACGTATATGTGCACGATCCTTCGCAGTAAAGCACTATTTGAGCAATAGTGAAAATCAGACCTGAAAAAAATTTCAGGCCTGTACGGGATTCGAACCACTGACCTCTGCGATACTAGTGCAGCGCTCTACCAATTGAGCTAACAAGCCAACTGGGAGCAGGCCATCAAATTAATTCGATATAAACCCGTAGATGATAAATCAAACAACAACAAACATATGAAACATATGTATGAACTGCGGTTATGAAACGTATATGTGCACGATCCTTCGCAGTNCTCGTTGCCATGTTCCCACCAATAACGTAGCTCCATTCTCTGCCTTTAAAAGCACACACAACCCACAATTCCTCTATTCGCTCCGACGAAGGGCTAACGCTCGAAACGTCAGCTTTTGTAATCGTTACGGTGGCCAATTTACCACTTCAACTTTGTTGATATATCCAAATTATTTCGTTACTCCCACCGACGCAGCCCCAAACAGTTTCTTTCGAAACTATCAGCCTTTATTCATTGTGTATATAGTGTTTATTAAAAACTGGATCATTGGATAATGCAATTCAAGACTTTTTATTGGCTTAGCCAGTATGGTATATGAGCCAATATACCATAATCTAATAACTGTACATTGTAACATCCCCTTTCTTCTCACAAAATAAAGTCGAGAAGATTTGTCTAATGTCTTGGGGGCGTTTTTTTTTAAATAAAACAATTATTCCACTCGCGTTTGTTGGATATGAGATGATTATAGCCAACTCGGTGCTACGCGCCTCGTTGGCTATCTATCATCTCATATCCAACGCGCGCTCGTGTTAAATATTGCCAAAGTCAAGCCTACAATCAATTGTATGTTGTGTATATAGTGTATATTGCCAAAGTCACGCCTGGAGTCAATTGTATATTGTGTATATTGTGTATATTGCCAAAGTCAAGCCTAGAATCAACTGTATATTGTGTATATAGTGTATATTGCCAAACTCAAGCTCACAATCAATTATATATTGTGTATAAATTGTATATAGTGTGTATTGCTAAAGTCAAGCCCCGATTAAATTGTATATTGACACCTAACACGCCATATAGACAATGTAAAAAATTCAAAAGCAGTTTATTGAAGCTAAATTCACCAATTACCTATTTATAAGGTTTAGTTAATATTGATAACATTGTTTATTACAAATCTACATCAGTCTTTCCTTCTTCTCTTAATTGGAATTCCAATTCTCGATTGAAACAGTCATTTACAAACCAAAACGGAACATTATGCGTATGTTGAGTCATCTTCCTTGTTAGATGAAAATAAGAGTTGAACCTTCGAAAACCTTGTTCACATGATTCTGTGTTTGTTCCATGAATTTCGCTAAACTTTGGAAGCATTGGGTACCACTACAGACAACTTGGATTCTCCAGAGGCTGCAAACCTCCTCAGTATGTTTGGAAACATGGAAAATATCAACAAGGAATCTCACGTTATCTAAGAGAAGTTTCGCACCTGCACTACTATTCTTACTTTGATTCCTACGAAATTGAACAAGCCCACACGCCCTATCATAACCTACATACATCAATCGTTCAAAATATTCCATATTCTTACAAAATGTTCTTAGAATTAAAAGAAAAACTTGTGTCTGGGATTCGCAAGTAAGCATTTCTGTCATTCCAAATACAATGCCACATGGTCTTATAAGTGTCAGCACACCCGCAGTAGTTTCAAAGAAGAGTGAAATGTTCTCTTTCTTCTTGCATCCGTACACAGCGTCCTCAGGGAGCATTCCATTTTCTCCATTCACCTCAGTAAACTCAGGGGGTACCTCTACGACCTCAGCCACCTCTTCTTTCTGATGCATTGCACAAAACTTAGACGGCTTTTGATCTTTACCACCATTAACAGGGGAGTTCGAACAGCACTTGAAAATTTCTGGAAGGTCGCGGCTTATTCGTACTTTTTCTTTAGGATATGCACATTTCAATCGCTTCAGACATTCGTTGCCATCAATAGTTACATATCCTTCAGAACAGCCTGCTACTTTACATTTGTGCAACACCCAGGGGTTGTCAAGGTTGCATACTTCGACCCAAACAATCCGACAAACGTTTTCTGCGTCAAGGTGTTTTCTTGACTTATTGTAGTCTATTGATAATCGACCATCTTCATATTCCTGTGATAAATGTTCACAAAAGTCCAGTGTGTGGAAGATGTCATCTAGCTTTGGCGTGTTGGGAGGTGGTTTTATGAGTTCGTCATAGTCCACATCTTTCTCAGGAGGGCAGACGAAGATTTGTCTGTCGCAGTAACCGTTGTAATCGTAACCGTTAAGAAGGCTGACAATAACATCCGGTTGTATGAATCCTGCGATGTTGAAACACGTGTCAGGCACTACACTGTTGGTTGTGCGAAAATTTCTTCTCCAAGCGCTACCATTTATAAGGGACAGCAGTGTTTTTCTGTCCGCACTACCGTTTTTGTATTTGTCTAGCTGCACATAAAACAGAGGTATTTCATGGTATAGCCCAACGATTCGTCCATTATTTCTCCTCAGTGTGTAATGAAGTTCTTCCATGGAAAAATGTTCTACAAATATTTGTGGTTCGGGATTTTCCGAGTCGGCTTTGACGCCCTCGTTGTTCGCCACTTGAATCAGTTGATCTTCCAGGACTTCAATGGGCGCTAAAAGTCTGTTAAGTGCAGGTGATTTCTACTGGCCTTTATCCGCTAGAACTACGCTCCATAGCATTAGTGGTTCTTTCCATTCATCATTTATAGTTACACGGATGTGTGGTCCCATGAAGTGCGCCGACACAGATAGGAGTGGAAAGAAAATAAAATCTTTCGGGCTGCCTAACGCATTGGCATTGGCGTTCACAAGGTCTTTGATTTTGTCGTGGTACATAAATCAATGTCGAATGTTATATCCTGTGCAGCGTTGACTTTCTTGTCAATGTAAGATGTACGTAAAAGATTGTTGGAGCCCGACATGTTATCTGTTCAGTGACCGAACGAAAAGCGCAATTTGCTTAGAATCTGCGTTTTTTTTTTATGGTGTTCGAAGAATCATAGGTGTAAGGTAATAGGGCTATTGTTTAATGTGCTTTTTCTACTAGATAAGATTGAGACAATGGTATGTGTGAAGTTTAATCATATTGTTAATTGAAGGCATGCACATTCCCGAGGGTGGGTTTTGTTCTTGTTTTTTGGCTTACTTTTTTGCTACGAGCGAATGTCTTTTGAGAACGAGGTATTGTTGGTATTAGATTGATTGCGAAATA